AAATGAGATGACTCACCTAATTTTATACTTTTACTTTCTTGAGTAAAATAAAGAAAAGTATTTTTTTTGTATAAAATTAGGTGTCATCTTATTTGATTTATATTTAATTTAAGTCTGGGGGACATGTCCCTTGATTGTTAAGGGTAATAATAATATTGTATATTAGTTGAGTTTGTGCGGCTTAGCGCTGATCCGCCTGCATAATGCAAGCTGGCCGTCAGTAAAAACACGCGATATTGATATTATGAAAATGGCTGAATTCTTTTGGGATGGAGGGTCGGGTCGCGAATTGTGGTCTGTCGCAGTTGAGTGAGCAATCATTGGCATAAGGCCCAATTGCGTTTGCCATGGGTTTATCTTCGTTCTCATTGCCGCCTTTATAAAGTTATTACTGTTTATGGAAAGTCATTCAAGTAAAACTCACCTCCTTTGATTGTCTGGACCTTACTTGTTCTGGTTGATGGTTCCACGATGCGCATCACCATGATGGCATCTTTTCGATCTGTTGACTTTACGTCAACTCGAATGAATATCAAATCTAATTTTGATTTCCTTGTTTAGAAGGGTATTTAAAGCAAAGTACAGGGTCAGAATTATTTTAATATTAAGAATTGAGTAAGAATTATAAACAAAATTGCTCTCTTGACAATTATTATTAGGTTTAGACTTTGCTTCTTTGCTTATTGATTAATTACTATAGGTTATACAAATAAGAAATCAAATAAGAGCCAGTAACATTAGTCATTATTAAATATGTATTTTACTCTTGTAACAGCTAGAAAAAGGTCATAATATGGGTTTTTTTAATATGCTTTTATATTAATACCAGCTACCAAAAATTCTATTTACATTGTATTGCATATCACTTATCATTCTTCATTACATTATTCTTAGTTTGTTAGGTTAGACTCTTTTTATCTTTTTGGATCTTTACATACCAGATAATGGTAATTCGAATAATTTACTTTTTTTGTCTTTAGGTTTTAAATATACTAAATAAATCGAATAATTTATAATCAAATCAAAAACATTTGCAATAAGATCTTTTTTTTTTATGAAATTTTCGTTTAGCAAAGAAACTTATATTAATTTTAATACGCACAAAATTGTTGGTTAATAGTGCATGTGGCAGCTAAAAATATCCAATATATACTCTACTCTCGTTATAGCGGACCTAAAGCTGATCTCTCATTATAATGGGGATAATTCTCTATACACTACGTGATATGCATCACTCCGTTCCTGATATGGCACTCTCTCAAAACAATAGCAGGCCAAGTATTTTCGTTTCTAGCTTCAATGAAACTATGTCATGCGGCACCTATATTTGCTATCAGAAAAAAAAAAAAAATCATGGAATATCCATTTACGATAGATGTAACAGAGCAAAATGAATTTCTATTAAACTGATTTTCTAAGCCTTACTATTTTAGGCTGGGTTAGCATTGTTATAATTACCTTTAATGTTATGATTCTTCATGCGCATGTAGAGTGATTTTCCAATTTAAAAACACCATTTACAAACAGGTTTCTCACCAGTTGCCGAATTATCATATGATACTGTATGACTTTTATAAATATTATTAACGTTATTTAATTATTGACTTGTAGCAGTGAAAATTTTGCATTTAGTACACATTGTAGACACAAACAGTTCAAAAAAGGGAATTTTAATAGTGCTATCCATTATGAAAAATGTGCATATTAAGTGCCGTAATGATAGTGAGAAAGTGGAAGGATAATACGCCTAGATATCATTATCATAGTAACATATTATTAGTTAAAAAATATTTTAAATTATTGCAGTATTGTGCGTTACAATTCTAGAATTGATTTAGTGGTCACAAGACAAATTATTTTACAAATCTTTCCGGAATGTATGTATATATATTTTTTTAGTGAAACTCAGATTAGCAATAGAAAATTCGAGTGTAGTAAGTTTTATATTACGCAATACTAGAATTATCACTATTTTGATTTATGGTAAATTCAATCTGCATTGGTTACCTGGAAATTTAGTTACTACAATCTCGATTGTAATTCAAAACATAATTGTGAAATGTTAATTTTTTGCTCGAAAAAAAATAAAAAAGACTGTATGCTATAAACTAACTGTATGCTATATATATTTTCGAATTAATATTGTTTATATTGTACTCTTGTATATGTCAGAATATTTATAAATAAATATAACTATGAATTTAATTCGTAAGAAAAAGACCTTTGCAAAACATATTTTAAATAGAGTGAAAGGATGAATGTATAAAAAAATTATTTCCTAAACAGTTAAATTAAGGCTTACAAAGTTCTAATACTTCATTTGTGCTTGTATTTAGTAATTGTGATTTATGATGATTGCTGTCATTTGTCACTTTGAATTTTCAAAATAACATCTGTCTCGTTTGTTTTTTTTAAAACTTCTTTTTCTTCCTCTTCTTTATTATTAATTATAAAAGGTAAAGCCGGTGAAACATCATGTAAGGTTTGTTGAGTAATACCACTTTGGTTATGACCATTATGACTTTGTTCACTGTCAACAACACCGCCAATATCACCACCGGTATCACCACCACCACTATGTCCAGTGTTTTTATCGCCATCTCCACTTGGTTTATTCGTTTGTTCAGCCCCACTATTATTTGTATGCCCTTTTTCATTATCATGATGAGAACTATCATAATAATTACTTTTGTCTTTATGCTTGCGGCTTTTATACTTTAGCTTTCTAATTATGCATATAACTATTGTAATGACAACAATTCCACAAACACATGAGGCAGTAATAATTAAAGACTTTAGATTATCAATTGATAACGATGGTTCTCCAGAACTATTTGAACTTGTTGAAGGAGTATTAGTTACAATTACTACACTTGTCGCATTAAGTTGACTTTGAGTTTGAGCTTTGACTATTGTTAAGTTTAATGATAATTAATTAAACAACATCAAAAGAAAAGAAAATAGTTTGGTTGAGATAAGCATATACTTACTTTGCAATATGAATACCAAAATTATCACAATCGTAATGAAAAGTTCAAAAGATCTAATTCCTAAAATTTGAGCCATAATCAACTTTTTTTATCGTCTAAATTAATATAGATATATTTCAAGATTAATTTCACAATCAGATTGAACTTATAAAATAAAGGTGGTAAAGGTGACAGAATTAAGTACTTGCTAAAAAGCGCAAGGGAATTTAAATGACATTCTGTATATAACGAAAAAAATTCAAAATCAAAGATGTAGATTTGTTTACCTTTTAAAATTGATAAGTCTGGATTTGTACATTAATTTAAAGATATTACATTTACAAAAAAAGGTTTTTCATTTAAAACTTCTTAATAATGAAAACTTTTTTGCCAAATAATACTCATCATAAATTCATACATTATTTTTACAGCATGTATGTATTACTGTATGATGTCGTTTTTTAATACGTTATAGAAAGTACTGTGTTAAGGTCTCTAATACCTTTAAGTATTTTAGTTTTGTAGGCAAGATAATTTTATATATATTTAATGGGAATTATATACTATACCTACAAAAAGAATTTTTATATAGAAAACCTGCAAATCTGTTTCAATTTTATTTATTGGAGTTAATACATATTTGTTGAAGATATGTAATAACCTGTCATTTTATTGATAATAAAATTAGTCCTTCAAGGTCAACGCTAACAATAATAACAAAAAAAAGGTAATTTTTGACACATGATAAACTAGAAAGATATGAGCAATGTTCCACCAAAAAGAATAATTTTCCTCTGTTGGAAAATCATTAAGAAACGCATTGTGGTTATATCATAATGCAGCACAATATAAAGATCGCAAGTTTGATTCAAATTTTACATAAATACAGATCATGGTTTAATTTTGTTTTTTTTTCTTAAAAAAAAAAAACCATATAATTGTATAACTAAAATATAAAATGATGTCCTATTATATTAAGAAAATAATTATTTTGACGATTTTTCTTGGAATAATTGGAATAGTAGCAGCTATCCGTCCCAACAAAGTTGCCAACAATCATGTTGACATAATGAATTTGCATAAACGAGAATTCAGTACAGTCGTTTCAACATATGTTACCACATCAGAACTTACTGCATCTACATTAATCACGGAATGCTATACATATACTACTGATACTGTGATTTATGCTACGGATACCACTACGGATACAGTGCTTTATCCTCCTACGGAAACATCACTACCTCCGAATATTTCTATAGAGACTGCATCACCGGATATTCCTACGGAAACTGCACCATCTCCGAATATTCCTACAGAAACTGCATCGCCTCCAGATACTGTTTCACCTCCACCTACGGAGGATACTAATTTTCCAGGAAAACGAAGACAGGAATTAATGCCTTCAAATACAGAATGCTCAGTATATACCGTCACATATGTTACAAATATTATATATACTACGACAGAAACTATTCTAATCTCAATAACACCGCCACCATCAACACCTTCACCACCATTACCATCAACGGAAATGCCACCACCATCACCAACAACGGAAATACCACCCTCATCACCAACAACAGAAATCCCAACAGCATCTCCACTATCACAACCAGAATTTTCATCAACTACATTGGAATATTTGCCAACAACACCAATTTTATCGGCAATACCATCAACAGTTTTATCAACAACACAATTAACAGTTTTATCCATAACACAATCGCCAGCTTTATCAACAACATCTTCGACAGTTTCGTCGACAGCTTCATCAATTGCATCAAATAGTACTAGGTAATTTTTTTCTTAAAAATTTTCGCATATAAAGCACGATGCTAATTCTTATTAATTGATTCTCAAATATCAAGCAATAGTCCTGCAAGTGCAACAAGTATAACTACCGCCAGTTCAGAATCAAATTTCTTGTACAATGAATTAACTGCATTTAATTTCGTAATTGGGTTAATTAGTTTTGCTTTTATTGTTATTAATCAAATCATTTGAAATATTATATGAAACACTTATTTCATATTTTTTACAATATATCTATGATTGATGACTAGTTTGAATAGTTTTTATAACAATATTTCATATTAATCATGTTTTCATTTACTGAATTATTTTATAATTTATTATATTGAATGGTATTTATGTTCTTGATATATAAAATTATCATGATACTAGGTGATCATAATGGAATAAAATTCATTATATATATTGAAGTTGTCTTAATTGTAATTTTATTAATCTTAGTTTTAGTTTATAAAAAACCGAAAAATAATTCTAATGCTCCAATAACGTCTGAGATATTTATATCAGAAACAACCATAAATAGAGTATATATGCTTGAAACATTTATATCTG